CATGTACTCCGTTACTCCCCAACACTGTGTCATCACTCTGGGCTTTTTAAGAAGGAGAAAGGTGTAAATTATTTATTCCATGCTCTCATATGGAAACGTGTCCAATCAGCTCAGTGAGCTCACTGAGACTCAGCACAGCTCCTTTATGATCATGTAATCAAAGCTTCTTCAAAGACAGATGTTCTTACATTCAGACTCTTTGACTGTAATAAGGGTGTACAGCACGCATACGGCATACAGCATGTGCAGTATTTGGCATTAGACTTAAACATATTACACATGCAAGTTTAATTCATAAGCCATCCAAAGATGTTCCTCTTTGCTGGAGCGTCCTCGTTTGATATGACCAACAGCAGATGTGTGACAGGTTTACGATAAAGTCCTGCTGGTTCAAGTTCACACAGCACTGTAGCCACGTGCACAGTCTGCATCGCTGTAGCCACGTGCACGTCTGCATCGCTGTAGCCACGTGCGCGGTCTGCATCGCTGTAGCCACGTGCGCAGTCTGCATCGCTGCAGCCACGTGCACAGTCTGCGTCGCTGTAGCCACGTGCACAGTCTGCGTCGCTGTAGCCACGTGCACAGTCTGCATCACAACTGCAAAGACAGGACTAAATAAAGATTATTTGTTAACGTCATGTATTTTTTACTTGTGTTTTCTGCAGTCTGTGTCGGGGATCCTGGGTTTTTGCTTGAGTTTTGCATTTTTCTAAGTGTTTCGTGTGTATTCTCTTTGTGTAGCAGAGATTTCTCGACTGGTTTCTTTATGGTTACTTTGTCAGTGTAGTTTTGCTGCGTATTACAGTCTAGTTTCTGTTTTAACTCCGTGAGTTTCACTTTGTCCTGCTTCCCCGCGTGTCTTCTTGTTAAGTCCCCGTCTCTATGTTAGTTTTCTTTTGTTGTGTTACTTCCTGTTTTATTTTGTTAGCAGTCGTCGCCTGTGTCTTGTTCCTTGTTTTACTTCCTCTTTTCTTGCTATCCTTGATTCGTTTCAGCTGTGTTTAGTTCCTTGTCGGCCATTTAAACTCTCCGTTTGCTTCTGTTCTTCGTCATGTTGTACTATCTAATCTGTTCATTTGTTTCCTGCTTGTTCCTGTAGTCCTTGTAACTTGTTTAGTTATTTGGTTCTCTTAAAAGTTAATTAGCTTTAATAAATGACTTAATTTGTCTGCATGTTGGGTCCACACTCTTTCACTTTTCACACACCTGACCTGGTTTGTAAATGCTCTAAAAAAAAAAAAAGCTGCGTGTTAGTGTTTCCTTTGGAGGTACAACGACAAAAAGATAAACGCGAGCAAACACAAAAATAATGTTTCCTGCTGAGTTGAACCCTCTTGTGCATTTCCCCACCAGCACTGCTATTAAATGAAGACTTACGTCAGCTTAAATGTGTCTTAGAGGACGTGATGGATCCACTGCAGCAAAAGGCCTGATAGCAAATCGATGGGAGGCTCAGCTCTGCCCTGTCAGCAGTGCACATAATTAGATATATTGATTATGGCGTTATCTGTGACTGGGGGGATCACTGGATGCACACAGGAAGCAACTGCAAAGTGTTTCATTTAATAAACCTTTTCAGAGTCTGTATTACACAGTGATGCTAAGCTTTCTAAACACCTCGAGTCTCAACGGGAAGGTCAGATGCTCTGAGTGCTTCTGCCAGATGCACATTTCATGCCTCATTTCATGCTCCATATTTTACCAAAATATTAGGAATGATTTTATTACTGCACTAATACTTCACCCCTACTATTTTTGACATTACATAACAATTATATGGAGAATCTTATGGGACATAAAACGCACATATGGCATAAGGACTCATAGATTTTACTATTTCTTTCTCATATTTTCCCTGCTGGTAGCTGCATGGTACTACATCACACACCATCTCTCTCTTCTTCCTCAGGCCACCTGACCTCCTTGAGACCATTCAATGCTATTGCGGTACAGTACTGTTCAAACGTCCTGAGCCAACTCATTTTTTAACATTTTGCTTCCAAGGAGTCAGACTTGTAAGTTCTTTAATGCTGAGCTGAAGCTCTTCAGTTGTTGTTGTTTGTTAATCCACTTAACACGGACTTCAGAATTGTACAAAAGGCGTAAGACTCGATGGATGAACCAGTGATAATGCCAACCATCACAGTTGGGAGTTCGTCTTGTAATTGGAAGGTTGCCGGTTCGAGCCCCGGCTTGGACAGTCTCGGTCGTTGTGTC